TATTTTAAATTGAATTTGTCTTTGTTATCTTATTTGGTTTTGTTAGTAATATTCAGAAATATTGATGATTTCTATGGTACATTAATGCATTGATGGTTGAGTTGTAAAATGCTATAAACATTGGAAAACAATTTGAAACTATGCCCCCCCCCAAAAAAAATTACTAAGTTCTGCACGCTCTTTGACTTACTGATATGTAGGTACCTTATTATTGTTTGGGTTTTTTCTTTTTTTTCTTTTTTTTTTTAAGCCAATTGGGGTTAAGTGACTTGCCCAGGGTCACACAGCTAGTAAGTGTCAAGTGTTTGGGCTGAGACCAGATTTGAACTCAGGTACTCCTGACTTCAGGGCTAGTGCTCTATCCACTGCACCACCTAGCTGCCCCTGTTTGTTTTTTTTAAAAAACATTAATTATTTTACTGTTTAAACCTTACTAGAGATTGTTTGAACACTGAATCTAATTGAACCCAGGTTTCCCTGACTAAAGTAACACTCCAGGAATGCCAGAGATGGCTACAAGAAATTCCGGATTCCCTGAGGTCCCAGACCCATCCAAATTATTCTTTTTTGGAGTCTTCATATCCAGGCCTTAATTTGGATCCATCCAAGCTTATGTTTTGTGTCCCTTTGTATTTTGTCTTTGTTTATTGAGTGTTTACATTTACTCATATCCATCTCAATCTACCTTGCATTCAAGTTGTCCTTTCTGCAGAATTGTTTACTGCATTCAGGTAATTTCTGTTTGTTGTCTAAACTGTATATGATATAAACCTTCCAGAGTCTGGATGAGAGGGAGTCACAGCTTTTTTTCTAATTCTCTCTCCTTTAGCAAATGACCTACTAAATTGTTTTTTAACTATTTCATATTTGGGGGTTTATTCTTGTGACCAACAATGTGGTGTCAGGAGTGGGATTCTCTTGTTAAGTTGGAAGGGTTAAATTGGAATGCTCTTTAAGACCTTGGAAGCTAAGTAAATCTCTGTGATATTGAGGCCCTGAACAATATGGGATCAAATCAGATATGAAAAGAATCTGGCAAGTGTCCTTTTTGAACCACAGTTCAGGCCTCCAGCTTCAGGTTTACAGAAAATGAAAAGAGTAAAATTAGCCCAGGTCACCCTGATTAATCAAATGAGTTATCTTCACTTGGTCACTCAAAGGCTTCATAATCAGCTATTTTTTTTTAAATGGTTAAAATTATGCTGGAGGTAATTTGGTAGAGCTTTCTTTTTCTTTTTCTCTTTTTCTTTCTTTTCTTCTTGATTCTCCTAAGATACCTGGTCTGTTACTGGTCAGTAGTATAGTAGATATCTTAATGTGCATGGCTATTAGTTCTACACACATTCATTTAGGATGACCCAAAGTTAGCTAGAGAAACTTGTCATTGGCAGGCAGTGAGGTGGGCGTTGACAGGGGCTTCCACTTCAGAAGTTCTCTAGTGTGGGAGGGCTTGTTTACCTTGGAGAACATTGAAAGGGAACACCTTGTCACTCATAAAAATTTCTATAAGAGAACTGATAAAGAAGCCTTAGTAGGGTGGAGAAGACTAATGAAGTCTCATATCTAAAACAGCTCTCCCAGCTATTTGTAATACTAAGTAGGGACTTACTATTACTGACTCTTTGATTTGACTTTCAGTTGGAGATAAGGGACAAAACAAAACAAGCAAACACTCATACAACAACACCAACAACAAAAGCAAAAAACAAAACAAACAAACAAACAAAAACCCTATGAGATTCTTTCTTTATCCCTGCTTTTACAACTTTGGCCAGATTGGAGACCACAGGAACATAAAACAAGAAAAAGTAGGATTGTTTTTCCCCTGGTATGTTGAAATATATGGCATTATAAAGTAATTATAAACTACAATTTGTAACTGAAATGTAACGTCTTAGTAATTTACTGTAAATTACTATGAATGTATCACATTATGTTTTAAAGATTTTTGAAATGGCTAAAAATCTTAGTGGATTTTTTGGAGGTTTGCAGCTGGGATTAAGATTAAGCAAAAACATCATCTCTCATCTCTCTGCCCTTCTTGGAAGGTGACAAATATATTTTTCCTAAAAGAATGTGATTTTACCTACTAGTGAATAAGCAGAACTGAAGCTAGTTTGAAATGTTTCGACATAACTTATTTGGGTAAATTAGTAGGTAAATCACCTAAATCAAAACTAAAGAAGCAAAAGTTGAGCAACTAACTGGTATTGTATAAGAAACACCCACACACACACACACACACACACACAAATATGCACAAATGCACACATGCACATGCACATGCACATGAGATGATGTTTTAAGCAAGTATAAGTATCTGTTAGCAATTTCAAAATGGTAATATTCTATCAAGGTATACCATTTATCAAATGAAAACTATAGAAATAAATTTGCAACATTTGAGCATAGCATACTAATTCTTTCCTTGAAGGGGCATGTCCCAATTTTTAGAGTCTCATGGGATCTGAAAGAAGATGGGAAGATGAGACTACCAACATGAATCTTTGAAAGTAAGCTAACTGAAAATAATGGGCTTTATAAACTGAGGTTCTGGAAGCTAATGGCCCTTGGAAAATTTGAGACTTTGCATATAAAATAGTGAAACTTGCTGCCTACCTTTGGAGAGAGAGGTGATGGACTCAGAGTGTCAACTAGAACATATATTTTTTGAAAAGGATAATGAATGCAGGAATTAGTCTTGATTAATTATGCAAATTTTAATAAGGTTTTTGTTTTTTTTCTTTCTTTTTCATTGGGTAAGGGATGACAGAAGAGAAAATAAATTTTGGTTAATTGAAAAATATTAATTTGATTTTTAAAAAGAGAAAAAGGAAAGAGGGAAGGAAGGAAAAGAGGAAAGGAAGAAAAAGGAAAGAAAAAGGAAAGAAAAGAAGGAAGGAAGGAAAGAAAGATAAAGGGGGGAGGAAGGAGAAAAGGAAGGAAGGAAAAACAGAAAGAAAGAAAGAAAGAAAGAAAGAAAGAAAGAAAGAAAGAAAGAAAGAAAGAAAGAAAGAAAGAAAGAAAGAAAGAAAGAAAGAAAGAAAGAAAGAAAGAAGGAAAGAAGGAAGGAAGGAAGGAAGGAAGGAAGGAAGGAAGGAAGGAAGGAAGGAAGGAAGGAAGGAAGGAAGGAAGGAAGGAAGGAAGGATACAGGAAGGAAGGAATGAAGGAAGGAAAGAAGAAAGATTCAACAAGCTTAGAGTAAACCTAGAGAGTTATGCATGAAGAAATGAGTTCTATTTTGGACTGATTTTGAAATACTTGTTCTTTATGAAACAAACTACACAAGATTCCAGATCTGTTTTCCCAAAGAGTCCATTAGAACTTCTTTGTTCAACGCACCATTGCTTTAGGTCTTTGCTATCAACTAGGTGATAGCTAAGTAATCTGCTTAAATAGCTATGTTAATGTTTTAATTGGTGCTTTAATTGGTTTTAATTGGTGTAATTGGTTTTTAATTGGTTTTAATTAAGGTATAATAGAATGTAATATTATTATATTTAAGTGTTACCCCTTGTAGGTAATAAATCCATTTGAACAAGGATTTTCTAATGATGAGACCTTAAATAAAAGGTTAATTTAAATTATGGGAATTTTAGGAGTCAAGTCATGGTTTAGAGGATATTTGGTAGAGATACAGAACTTCATAGTACAACAGAAATGAACTGTCTTCCTAGGTAATTTATTCAGGACCTAATAGGAAACTTCTCAAGACTTGTCAAACCACATGACTATTAACCACTTTAGCTGATTCTTATAGGCAAAAATGATATTTCCAGAAAGAATCTAAAAACCTCACTAAAAATTACAAAGGCTTGCAAAGGAAACTGATATCTTTAGGGAGTTTTTATCACTGATGCCAAGGATAGACAAGAAATTTAGAAGAGAATGGGAATTTTAAGGTGGTTGTGGGGATATTTATGATGAATATTCCTAAATCAAAAGCAGTCTAATACACACAGATTTGGACATAGGATATGTTAGAACTTTTCCTACTGCCTGAACCATCTGGCTCATAGTCAACCATTTGGGGCTGACTATACACCTGATTAAAAGGAAAGGGAGGACATACTTATGAGCTCTCTTTATCACATGAAATACTTATATGCTCCCTTGCTATCACTGCCCCTGCTAAGGACTTCTAAAGGTACAGGGACAAGGTATACAAGAACCTCAAATGTCAATTGTTTCCAGACAATTTTCATTAAGCTACTGCTGAGAGTTAATCACCAGAAGCCCAGGGCTCCATTTCCCTCTTCTGATAAAGGTATGCTCAGTGGGTCAAAAGAAAGAGAGAAGAAATTGAGTGTTTTCTTCAAATCACACATGCTCAGTCCATGTGATCCAGGTGCATTTGTCAACTGTCACACCACAATTCATTTAATTAAGCATTGTGAGAAATGAAAGCCATCAGAATTATACATGTATCTGAGTGTAAGATGGTTATCTTTAGGTAAAGTATGGTTGCTGCATGGCCATGAAGCCATGGTCACCCAGAGAAACCAACTTACAATCATCACAAATCTGCTATAGACGCTGAAACAAAACATTCTGGCTTCCTACATTATACAGGAGGTCAAGGGACAGGCAATTCAATCTTTTTTCCAAACAATATGCCTTTTAAAAAATTTATTTCCCAGTCTTCTGGAGGAACTATTGCTAATATTAAGTCAGCACAATCTCCATGCTAAACCTTGAAATACGTGCTTATATAGTGAACATGGTTGTCAGCTAGAATTCATCTAAAATTTTGCCCACAAGCAAATGACATATAAATTTCTTGTTTCATTGCTGGCTTAGGAATAAATCCAATAAAAGTTATTTCTACATATGGTTCAATTTTAAATACAAGCTATTCAGAGATTATAACACATTTAGCATCAAACTGATGGCTGACTTTGCAAGCTGTTCGGAGAAGAGAGGAAAATTGTTCTAGCCACCCATAGAAGATCACAGCAAAAGAGACTTTAGGAATACTTAGAAGAGCACTTTCATTTACCCTCATTGTCCTTCAGTGTGAAGTTGGGGTTCAGAGCCAGACCTTCATCCAGAAAGAAGTGGAATCTTGGTCCATTTGCAAAATCATCTTTATCAGTGGCACTGATGGTATGTATAACCTGAAAGGGGAAAAATACTGCATTGATTAAAAAGAAACAAACTAATTCAAAACAAAAGAATTGTTAAATGAACCCCTTTTTTCTCTTTGGAAGTCTTCAAATTTACCTCATTAAACAGTACATATTGCTTTGTTTTTTCCCAGCATGAAATATTTTAGGAATAGCATTATGGAAGAAGTTATAATCATCCACGCTTTGTTATTTTCTGCTATGACTCAACCATGTTTATTCTAAGATTTCTTTATCACAGAACATACTTTGGGGCCTTTTAGATGTAAAATTCTGTATAAACACCTGTTTGGGGAGACATGAAATATGGCTGAAACAAGTATAAATGTCCCAGTGTTGATGTAGAGTACTCTAAGCAATGAGAGTTTCTGTCAATAAATGCAAACAGAATTGAGTTATAAAATTCACTAGTAGGGAACACAGAGGTCATCTAATTCGAACCCCAGGCAGGCCAGGTTAAGTTGCCCAAAGCCACTAGTTAGTGGCAGTCAAAAAGAAAGAGGCAGGTCTCCTGACTCCTAGTTCAGCGCTATTTCCAATGCTGCTTCTTTCTGCAATCCTTTTATTCTCTCATTGCTAAGACAGAAGACTCGTTAAAATTCAGAACTGACAGACAATCTGGACCAGAACTAGGTTGAAATCCATAAACAGAATTGAATACCAGATTGCCTTAGAAGAGGGAAAAAAAGCAAGTGACCAAAATAATTCCATAGCATCCTACCTCTAAAAAAAAATAGCAAAAACCCTTTCTGTACCCAATTTGGAATTGTATGCCCCAATTTCAAGCAAGTGACCTTCAGCTATTGCTTAGAAAAACTGTGTCTACAGAAAGTGTCTGAAACGGAATGTGGAAAAAGTATAGGATGGTTGATGGTTAAATAAACAAATGAACAAACAAACAGGTATGGCTTCTTTTGACTTTAATTCATCATCTAGTGTTTCCTAGCTTTCCTGATTCCAAGGCAGCCTTTAGAAAGCTATCCCAGCTGCCAGTAATAGTGTTTCTGCACACAGCTCCTAAGCTGTGGCAGATGTCAATAGTTGTGAGCAATAGGAATCCAGGCCCACTGTTGTTAGCACATAAAACTAGCTTACATAATTCATTTCCCCTCCAACCCCTTCTTATTTAAAGCAAAAAATACCAGGAAAATGAAGCAGAGGGGACAGTGTGATATGAGCAAATGTGGTAGTACATGCTTCATAACATCTTTTGCATCTTCTTCTCTCCACTGACTCGGGTTCTGCTTTAATTCAGGTATTTATTACCTCTCAGCTGGACAATTATAAGGCCCTTCTAAATGGTCTTCAGGTTCACAGTCCTCTCTTTACCCAAGAGCTGGCAAAATAATTGCCCTAACTCTTGCGTCTGTCTGCTAATGTCACTCTCTTGCTCTGTAGCGCCCAGTGACTTCCTATCATCTCTAGTATAAAATGCAAACCCTTTACATTGGTTTAAGGTCCTCCACAGCCTAGCTCAAATCTATCTTTTTGACCTTACTTCTCATTGTTCCACTATATTCCAGCAAAACTGAACTATAGCTGTTTCCCATCTGCATGTGGTGCCTGGAAGGTACTCACATTTCACTGCCTCTCAGAATACTTGCCTTCCTTCAAGGCTTAAAACAGATGTCTCCTTGGTGAAGCTTACCCTAATCTTCCTCCAGTTTTTAATTCTGTTTCTCTTCAAATTACATTGTAGTTTCTTTTGCGTATATATGTTCTATTCCCCAGTAAAACGTAAACTCCGGATACTACAAATGGTTCTATGTTTGTCTTTGCATCCCTAGGATCTGCCACAATGTCTTGCAAATAAAACGTGCTTAATAAATATTGTTTGAGAAATCAAATAATAAATTCAATTAATCTTCAGAGAGCCCTGTAGATATGAATGCATTGGGTTTTCTCAAATATCCAGTGTTAACTGTCATTTCTTCTTTTCCAAACTTGGAAAGGATGGTCTTTTTCTTTTTAAGCCTTTTCATTCCTTCCTCAACATCCTACAGATATCATTATCCTCATTTTAAAGCACACTTATCTGGAAACAACACTTGAAGAGTAAATCCACAGTCTTCCTTTTTGAAACAAAAAAGGGAGAGCCACTAAAGATAAAGGATTTGTCCAATGTCATAAATATAAAGAGAAAACAGGACCACAGAAGAACTCAGTTCAGATTATAATCTACTGATCTTATCACTAAACCATGTTGTCTCCTTCAGTGGCAAATTTGCTCATTCTTCATGGGGGGAGGGGAAAGTTTTTCTACTCTGGCCTGATTTATCAGGACTGTGTCCATACCTTACCACATAGTCATCTTTTTCAAGTTCCTTACTGTCTTTCAAGCCTCTTAAATGTCATAAACATTCATAGACAAAGGATTTCTCTTTGAAGTAACAGACCAAAACTTCCTAACAGACCAAAACGTAACAGAGTCCATTTTTTTTTAGCACATATGATTGTCAAAACTATGTCTTCATGACTCCTCTACCTTCATCTAGAAAATTATATGGACATTTTAACTTTTTATCCTGCAGAAATTTCCTCAATCTAAAAAACAATACAAAACAAACAAACAACAAAAACAACAACCACCACCACCTTTTGACCTTGAAGTCCCCTCAGGGTAGCAGTTTATATCTCTCCTGGCTTTGGATAAATGAAAATATTATTTGTGAAATGGTTAATATTCTGATTATTCCTTTTAAGTCACTATTGCTGGCTAGGAGGGGGGAATGGGGAGAGAAAGGGGAAAGGGAGGAAAACTAGGAGGAGCATATGGGAGGATAGAAGTGGGAAGGAAGAGAAAAAGGGAAAGGGAAGAGAAAGAGAGGAGAGAATATTGACAACTGAGTGGGATAAAGAAAAACTAAATTTAGGTTTAGGAGACAGCATCTGAGCTGTGCTTTGAAAGAAGTGAGGGATTTTACAAGATAGAGGTGAGGAAAGACAACTTTGATGAGACATGGGGCAAGTTAGGATGGCATAGATAGGGAATAGCTAGCAGTCTAGTTTACCTTGAATGGAGAATATGTAAAATGATATACATAATACTAGAAAGTAATATAAATAAAACTAGAAAAGTAGGCATGGGAAATACTGTGGAACTGTGGAAGTTTTAAATGCCTGTCTGAGGATGTTATATTTTACTTGAGATGCGCTAAAGAATCACTAGGGATTTTGGAGAAAGGGAGTGATATGGTCAGAATGGGATTTTAGGAATATCAAATTGACAGCTGTGTGGTAGAGAGAGGAGAGATATTAGAGGCAGAGATGGTAACTAATCTTCCTTCATGATTTCTTGTTCTGTGTTAGCAATTGCCTTCTATTACCTGAATAAATCACCAGCAGTTCTAACACAACATGTTCAAAATAGAACTCATGTTTCTCTTTAAAAACCATACCTTCTCTAAACTGCTCTTAAAGCTACTTCTAAACTAATCATACAGGTTTGCAATTTCTGAGTCTTTCTTGATGTGTTTTTCTACCTCTTGTCGATTCTAGCCATGTCTGTTCCCTTCTCACAGCTTAACGTGAACACCACCTTACTTCATACTCTCTTTACTCCTTGATGAGACTGTTAGAACAGTTTCCTAACCTTCTTGCTTCCAGTCTCCCCCTATCTAATACAGCTGTTAACTTATTCTTCCTGAGGCAGTGTTCTTGCCATCTCAGTCTGTTGCTGAAAATTCTTGAGTAGCTCCGTCTTGCTTCTAAGAAAAATATAAAAACTTTAACCTAGCATTTAAGACTCTCTACTTTCCAGCTCATCTTTCCAAACATTTCTTGAAATACATTACTTCCTTTCAAGCACTGAATATACCAGCCAAATTGGCCCACTAGCTAGTCCCTGAATTTTGTGTTCCCTTTTCCTCTTCTAAGCAGTTGCACAAACTATCCTATATGCCTAGATTAAGGTCCCTCATTACTTCCACATCTGAGAAACCTCTTCTCAGGGCAGCTAGGTGGCGTAGTGGATAGAGTACCACACCTGAAGTCAGAAGGACCTGAGTTCAAATCTGTCCTTAGACGAAACACTTGACATGCACTAGCTGTGTGACCCTGGGCAAGTCACTTAACCCCAATTGCCTAAAAAAAAAAGAAAAGAAAAAAAAGAAACCTCTTCTCTCTTCAATTCAGGTATTATCTTTATTATATCTTATCCTCCCAGGTGTTAATGTCTTCTTTTATACTTCGTAAGATATCTTGGGGCTTGGGGTCTAGATTTTTTTACCCTTTCCTATTTATTTAATCTTTTTTTTTTCTTTTAAGCTGGGACAATGAACTCTTGATTCATGTGGTTTTCATTCCTGATTTCTTGAAATATAGCCTCAGTAAACCAGGCTTTGTAAAGCCTATTAGGATTCATATGGAGCTACTTGACTGTGCCTTTAAACCCAAATCACTCTGGCTCTCACTGATTGGCCAATAATAGGTCCCAACCCAAGTCTCACTTGCTCTTTGTTTGGGTTTTAGTGGTTCAGAGTGAGAGTAAATGGCAATTGTTTCTGTTCTGACAAGAAGCTCTGAGTCTTTCCCACCCAGATGAATTATTTTGGGAAGTCAAGCTAGGTCATTTTTTTGCCCCAATTCTTACCTAGCTTTTAATCACTGAATGGGTGTTGCCTCAGACAAACAGATGTGGGAAAGACCTTAGATTAAAAAGGCTGGGATCTCCCACTGCAAATTGGGCCTTCACCAGTCTTGATCTACGTCTTGCTACTAGAGTCCAATAACTCTGGACAGTGAGGTTGATGACTTTGCATAGCCCTGCCTCACTTAAATCCAATTCACTTGCTGGTCAAGACATCACCCTCTTGATGTCATTGGTCTTCTTTGAGAGCAAAGGATGAACAACAACACTACTGTATCTACTTCTCTATGTATAAATTCCTAGGACACAAAATTCCATTTTTTCATCTCTGTGCCATTTTCTGTACCTTGAACATACTTTGTCTTTATCTCTTATGATTCTTAGATGACTTTAAAGGTCAATT